CAATTTTAAATTATTTTATCAAATATATCGAAATTTTCATTTTTAACTCAAGATTGAAAAATTTTTTTGGCGCTTTTAAGTATTGCTTAATTTAACTATTTTTAATTTTAGTGGCTTATATTTTTGCAAAGAAAGATGCAGAGCCGGGCGATGCATTATATGAGGTACATGAATTGGGTCAAGGCCCGAATATAAGCAAAGTATTAATTCATTTAGTTAATCATTAAACAAGTTATCGCTAAACATAAAAACAAAAATCATGTTTCATTTTAACCTTGATTAAGATAAGGGTCGATGTTGAGTTAAACGTACGACGTACATACCTGTTCGCAGCAGCTTTTTGCTGGTTACACCAGAACTGTATTACAAACTTTTTGTACTCTCTATACGTATGAGGTAACGTTAACGCGGGACTCATAGATACCAAAATTTTTATTTGGTAACTTCACGTGCTCGTTGACTTAAAGGTATCGTTATTTTTGGCGGGTTTGATCTTTTTTACTGTATAACACTAGGCCTTATTTTTCACCGAATTTCAAATTGAAATTATTTTTTAAGGAAATGGAAGACAATATTGACTTTGAATTTGTTACAAACAGTAACCCACACCTGACTAACCCTGACTCCCTTGGTATATATAACATCAACCAAGTGGAATCTTATAGCGACAATACTTCCGTGTGTCCTATCCCACCTGGCTCTCCAGCTTATTCTTCTTCTATGGCTAGTTCTCCACGTGAGTTTTCCTCGACCCCAGTAAATGGTTTCCAACAGGACCTTCCATTTGAGCCGTATCGTGATGATCCTGAGGAGGCTTCAGCTACCCAACTGTTATATACTTCTTTTGACGGTCCCATCGATTCTGATAATGGAAAATGTCCGATAAACGTTGAAGAAGATAATGACTATCATTCTAACACGTCTTCAAAAAAATATGCAAGAAAATTAAGGATCGCTATAGTAATATCAACAACATTTTTTGTCCTGGAGCTAGTTGGTGGTTGGATCTCTGGCAGTTTGGCTCTATTGAGTGATTCGTTTCATTTGTTGAGCGGTGAGCTTCTATTCATTAAACAACTAAGCGTTTGTATTTCACCTTTTGCTTGTATCCTAACTAAACACGCTTGTGATATCAGATATAATAAGTTTTGCTATATCACTTTTATCCATATATCTTGCCCAGAGGCCCGCTACTAGATGTAAGTAGTAAAATATTCGTCTTTATTATGGTTATATCCGGATAAGGACAATAATAGAATTTGGACAATATCACTGTTTTGGATAACATTATGATATGTAATATATCATTTTTTCACCTTGTAATCGTTACTTGGACTTCTAATAAAAGTTTTAGAGACAATTATTACGGTTTTATTGATGGTAAAATCGATAGAATTGGTCCGGTAAATCACGAGATATAAGTAGAATGTTTCCGCAATCATAAGACATTTCTATGCAAATCTGCAAAGAAATTTCGTATGATTTCGAAGACTTTTTATTTATAATTAAGGTCTACTGATCTAATTTTAGCGATTCTAAATGCCTATACAACTTTTATTAGAAGTCCAAGTAATAATTGCATGCCAAAATAATAATAATAATAATACTTGATCCGGATTAACATTTTTTTTCATTCTTGCTCATATTGACTATGTTATTCTGATTTGTCTTATCTTTTAACCTTCCATAGCGCTTTCGTATGGTTACCATCGTGCCGAAATTTTGGGCGCTCTTGCTTCAATTCTCCTTATATGGCTACTTACCGGATACTTATGTTTTGAAGCCTATGATCGGATACAAAACCCAAAGAGTGTGGATGGGTTGACAATGTGTGTTGTTGCTTCTATAGGTGTAATGGTCAATATTGTGTAGGTTTTATTTAGTCTTTATATCTAGAGACATTTATGTCAATTTCAATGTTTATATAGTCTTTTTTTTTTTTTTTTTATAGCTTACTTATCGTTTTAGGGCACAACCATGGGCACAGCCATGGCCACGACAAAAATCATGGTCACCATCATTGTGGTGATAATGTCAATGTTAGAGCAGCTCTACTTCATGTTTTGGGTGATCTTCTCTCATCGTTAGGCGTTCTAATTTCATCAATAGTAATTACGCTTGATCCAAGTCAATCATGGGTTGATCCATTGTGTACATTTATCTTTTCTACTTTCGTTATGCTTTCAACTGTTGGAATAGTGCGAAGTAGCGTAAGAGTTTTAATGGAAGGTTTGTATTTGTCTCCGTCATATTTATTCTGTATACATGTAAATGAAATATTCATTTTATTATTGTTTATAGCTACTCCACCACACATCGATGCTCACGCTGTAAGGGCTGATTTAGAGGAAATCTCTGGCGTAAAGAGTGTTCATGATTTACACAGTATGTCATATCATTTTCGGTGTTTTATATACATATTGTTTTTTTATACATATGATATCTAACTTATTTCTGTATTATAGTATGGGAATTAACTGTTGGAAGGGTAAATCTTATTTCACTTTTTCATTTTCTTTAGCTTACTTGTATCAATTTATTGTATAAATATATTTAAATGGATTATTGTTTATTACAGACAGCTCTCACTGCCCATCTTCAGCTTCACCCATATGATCCAGAAATTCAACAAGAACCTTTGAAGCCCACTGAAATATTAGCGAATGCTAGACGTATGTTGAAAAATAATTATGGCATCTTACAGGTGACTATTCAAGTCGAATAATTTAGGTTTTTTTTCAATATCATAATGCGGCAATAATGTTGGCCGCATATTTCATTAATTTTAGTACACAATTCAATTGTATGGTTTTCATTTCATTCGTTATAAATAGTAGACATTGTTATTATATTCTTGTGGCTTATTTCTTAATTGTATATGGTTTTATTAATTGGAACTGGATGTTTAAGAAATAATGTAATTATGTAACATTTTTTTTAACCAAATTATCGGATTCTTTTTAAATTACGCGATAAAAATGTCCATCATTAATAAAGAATAAAGTAATTTCTTTTTTAACAAATTTCCTAACAAATTTCCCTAACAACATTAACGAGTTTTTCAATTGCCTTTTTCTCAATTTGATAATGCACTACTAACCTTGTCATTGTAGATGCATTTCCAACAATTTTAATCCCATGTTCACTCAACTTTTCCGCTAAAGTATCAATACTACCAATTTTCGTCGCACTCGTATCAATAAATACCATATTAGTATGAACGGGATTCACAATCCGGATACCATGTTTCGAAAGTCCTGATGCGAGTTCACGTGCTAAAATATGCGTTTCCTTTAATCTGTTTGGATAATTTGTTTGGAGCGCGTGTTTCGCTGCCGCGGCTAGTAGACCTGATAGACGCCACCTTTTTCCAAGGGAAGTGTTCAGAAATATCAAATATATATATAAATATAAATATATAAATACTAACGAAATCACCCTTCGAGATTTTCCAGTTCTTATTTATACGTAAGTCATCTTTTACCTTTATTGGCACAATAGCCTATTTAATTAACTATTATATCAATAAAGGTAAAAGACGATTACATATAAATAAGAACCGGTACTCTGCAGGGATGGTAAAATTAGGTTCTACCACAAAATCCCGACATCCAAAATCTCGACAAGCCATAATACTGACATCGCACGATGTGACAATTAAAATTTAAAGTCTGACAATTATTGTTAATGTGATTACTAATCTTTAAATGTTAATTGTCACGCCGGGATTATGGTTTCGAGATTTTGGATGT